TTCTATTTCCCGAAGAACATATTCAACCTCAAACTATATTACTTGGGATGCCAACATTTTAACACTCACAAACTGTCATAAATTAGACAGTAGTATAACTTATGGAATTATCTACCATAATGGCAGCAGAAATACCAGCTAAGAGCCCAGACGCGTGCTTCGCCTGTAGTCTGCTGCTTAAAATAACTGCTAGAGGTCCGGCTCATCAGCTGATCTCCCAGCATTCCACGTGCTTTCTAGATAAGGTTATTATCCGACAGAGACCTCCCAAGGCTCGGTCCGACGCGACACGCTGGTCGACGCCATTTGCTAGGAATATGATGGATCCAAATTTGAAAAAGTCAGAATTCCGGGATAAGAATTATAGTTCATGTTTTGCTAACCGGAGCAAATTTGTTGGTTTGCTGACGCTTCGGACAGCTAGGCCGGCTGTCCTATGTCGAAGCGTACACTGACTTTATCGATCAGCAAATTTAGACATGCGGCTGTACGTGTTGGCCTTGGGCTGATCGATTTTTCTCCGCTCGCTGCTTGGCCCTCCGTGTGGATTTTGGCACAGAACACCAACTGCTGCCCACACGGAGGGCCAAGCAGCCAGCGGAGAAAAATCGATAAGCTCAGGGCCAACACATACAGCCACAACTTTAAATTTGCTGATCGATAAAGTCAGTATACGCTTCGACAGAGGATAGCCGGCCCAGCTGTCCGAAACGTCAGCAAACCAACAAATTTATTCCGGTGAACTAAACATGAATTATAATATGATGAATCAATCAGCATTCGCCGGTATTTCCCTCAACGCTTTTCTCAAGTAATTACCTACTAGACAGCAGTGGCAAGTACACTTTTTCAGTCGGAGTTCACATTCACTATATCACGGTGCCGACATCGAGCTTGGCCGACAGTGGGTTAGGCCTCAGCCCTCCACGTTTTGGCAGTACTATCGTCGTCTGTCCGCGACCGCATATCCGCTAGACTGAAAGCCTACTTATTTTGCTGATGGCCTCGCCCACCAGTGAACGCGCCGGATAGTCAACAGCCCGACTAACGGGAGAGTCAGTCTTCCTGTTTCCAAGCCACCTCACCAACCCACGCCCGGAGTTCAAGAAAGGAGAAGACGCAACTCATGTCAGTGTTGAAGGCAATCAAGGAAAGATTGAACAAACACACACACACACACACACACACGGAGATGAAGGACCATCTCCAAAGCGAAAAAGAAGACAGCAATTGCCGCAGACTAAACTTGAAAAAAAAAATGAATTGTTGTCGTAGAAAGTGGGGTAAAGAGTGGAGGATGAGCTAGAAGGCAGCCGACACTCGAGCTCTATCATCCAGCGCGAACACAAACCACAGCCACAGGTTACCTTCGGTTCTCTTATCCGCGAAAACGAGGCAAGGAAGTCGTTCACAGCAGCGTGTGCCGGTGCGATGAACATTAATCCCCGTGAGATCAGGTCAGCACCACATGAACCGCACGAAAAAGAGCAAACTGTGAGGGGGGGGGAGAGGAAATTGTGATCTAGAGGAGGACTTGCAAAGAAATAAGATACACACAGGATGGGTCAGACGGGTGATGGGGGTGAGGTCAGGGGCCCCCTCCAAGCGGGGACACAAGCAGACTTTAATTTCTGTTGACCGGAGGGAGAGTACCGTCGCCCTGGACGGCACCGCCGCGTATGGGAAGAGGTCCATGGCCGGCACGGATGGGCTTGACAATCTGGGCAGACTGCTGTCGGCGACCACTCTGGCGCTGGCGAACGGCCTCCTTGATACGCTCCACTTCGTGTTGGTAGCGTTTACGATCACGCATTGCACCTTCCTTGGCCTCTTTCAGGGCCATTTCCAGAGAACGCACGCGTTCCACGGTACTCTACAGAGAGAAGGAGAGCGTGTAAATACCCGGAGGTCACAGGAAGTTGTGGATGCAAAACAG